AAGATTAAGTTTAAACAGTTTAGGCGTTGACGACGATGATGATGACGATGACGAAGAAGATGATGATGATAGTAATAATGATGACGATTTTGTAGTGATGACGCCATTGTATGGGTTGAAGTTAAAATATTTGGACGTTGATGATGATGATGATGAAGATGGGGCTGTAGATATTCTACTCTTACCATCACCATTATTATTATTATTATTATCATTATTTGTGGTGGTGGTAGTAGTAGCAGTATCATCATCATTATCACCATCTCGTAGATGATACATGTATCTGTGTATATCACTTATCTTGATTCGGCCAACGTACAAATCTGGTTTTATGTTTCTGGAAATCTCAAATTCGTACGATAATGATGATGATGATGATGGTGGTGGTGATAAGGGCGATGATGATGATGATGTTAACAACGATAATGATAGTAATGATGTCGTTTTTGTTGCTGATGATGATAATGATGACGGTGATGACGACCTCCAAAGTATAACGGAAACAGTTGACAGCGAAAATAGTTTTGATCTTTTCCGGTCAGCTGCTTTCACTCTCAGAGTTCGATTGATATATGACGATGATGACGATAACGACGATGATGATGAATTCAGGATATTCAGTTTTAACACGCCACTCTTTCCATCAATGGTGAACATGTTGTCAGCGTTACCTATTATGGATGCATACGAATAAAACTTGAGAGAGAGAAATAGAGAAATAGAAAGAAGAAAAAAAATGAGAAAAAAGAGAGAGAGACAAATAAAGAAAGAGGTATACAGAGAGAAATGATGGATAACAAAACGTAAGTGCGATTAAAATGATGAAAGATTGAAACGAAGAACAACAGAAAAAAAGAAAAAAGAGAGAGGGGGAAAGAGAAGAAAAAGAGAGAGAGAGAACCATCATCACAAAGATGACTCAGTCCAATTGAATGCGCGCACACATACAAACATGTACAAACACACACAAACAAACACACACGAAGACTTTTTTACTTCCTTAATTGTCAATTTCATCCATTCGCTAACAATTATAAAGCGTCTTTATGTATTTTTGTCTGTATGTATGTCTATGTATACACAAATGTATGTATGTATGTATGCATGTATGTATGTATATGTATGTATGAATGTATGTATGTGTGCGTGTGTGTGTGTGTATATCAGTCTGTATGGGTGTATGTGTGTATATTTGTATGTATGTATGCATGTTTGTGTGTATATATATACATAAACAAACATGTACAAAGTTTAACCTGAGTGTATGGAGTATACAATGTCATCATCATCATCGTCATCGTCATCATTATATGCTGTAACTTTCAAGAAACCCGCTTTAAAAACATCATCATCATTACCATCATCACCGTCGTTATGACATTTGAAAATATTGTTGTTGTTGTTGTTGTTGTTGTTATCATTATTGTAGTTGTTACTGCTGTCATTGTTGTTATTATTATTGTTATTATTAATAAAAGATGGCAGACAAAGATGGACGACGTATGATTTCCGGCAAAATTTTGGCGGGATTTTTGAAATTTTTTTCTCGAATTCAACCGTCAGATGGGCGAATGAAGTCTTCGGAATTATGCCCTGATCTGAAGAGGAAATGAGTAGACGATGACGATGATGATGAGGAGGATTATGATTATGATTATGACGTTGTCGAAGACGGTCACGATGATGATGTTGCCGTTCTGCGACCTTGAACTTTTCATCAGGAAACGATTTAGTCATCGTTATTTCTCCTGTAACGGTGATGATGATGATGATGATGACGACGACGACGACGACGATGATGATGATGATGATGATGATAGTATGATGATGATACTATAAATCTTTCATCAGAAAGTTAATTGACAACTAAAGGCAAGAAAATGACAAAAAAATGACAAAACAAAATCGAAACGAACCCGTCATTGAATTAACTTTTAAAAACCCATTTGTTTTTCCGCCACTTTTACCCCAATTTTTTGAATAATTTCGCGCCATTTTTTTCCCGCAATTTCTATTTTTATCATCGTCATCATCGTCATCGCCAATTTTTCCATCGTCATCGTCATCATCATCATAGCCGCATCTCTGGTTGTCATTATAGGTTCGTTGATTAACGAGTGAGTAACTCATTTTTCCGCTACTACTATCATCATCGCTGGCGGTCACTTTTGTGATGATGATGATGACGTGGTCGTTTTTTGTTTCGTGGTTGTTGTTGTCGTTGTTTGAAATGACGTCATCGTCATTTATTTTGACGAAATAATCGGTGGAGTTGAACTTGGGCTTGTTGTCATTTGTGTCGTAAATCTCTATAGTAACCTATGGTGGTGATAATAATGGTGGTGACGATGGTGAAGATGATGATGGTAGTGATGGAGATGATGACGATGATAATGGCCACTCAATTGATTAGCCAACAAATCAACCAGCCAATCAGACTAACGATCAATCTATCAACTAGTAATCCAACCAATCAACCAGACCGCCATTCAATCAAACATCAAACAAATCAGCCAATCACAGACCTTGGTAACATCATATAGCATGCCATTGGTCACGGCAATTTCTAACTCGAACGCTGACTGGTCCTCGTGATCCATGGCCCTGGCCACTACAACCACACCAGTCCTGGGGTTCATGTAGAAAGTACCGTTATTGTTTCCGCCTAATTTTAGGGAAAGATAAAAAGTTGGAATAGTTATAATAATTATTGGCAATATTATAATTTAATTATAAGTAAGATTAACTTGATCATTATCATCACAACCACCACCATCATCATCATCAACAACAACAACATTTTCATCGTCGTCATCTTCGCCATCCCTTTCTTATCGTATCCACAATTTACAGTTTAACCAGACGAGCCTAAATAGTTCAACAAAAACCAGAACCAACATAAGTATGTATATGTGTGGTGTATGTATGTATGTATGTATGTATGTATGTATGTATGTATGTATGTATGTATGTAGGTATGTATGTGTATGTATGTATGTGTGTATGTATGTATGTATGTATGTATGTTTGTATGTATGTATGTATGTATGTATGTATGTATGTATGTATGTATGTATGTATGTATGTATGTATGTATGTATGTATGTACGTACGTACGTATGTGTGTGTGTATATATATAATAATAATAGTAGTAATAGTAGTAAGTAGTGTTACTCACTTATAATAAAGTACCAGAATATTTCTCTATTATTAGCAATTTTTGCGGTTGTATTTTTCCTATCATCACCAACATCATCGTTGTCGTCATAAACGTAGCTGGCGACAGCCGCAAAGACGAAGCTTCCAGGCGAGTCGGATTCCAGCATGTAGTGATGGTGGTTGCTGCTGCTGTTTTGGAAACGAATTTTAAGATTACGATGATGATGATGACGATGTTGTGGATGACGACGATGATGATGATTATCTTGTTGACGTTGGTACTGATGTTGATTATCTTTGTTACCATCATCAGCAATAGCATCACTGAAATCATCGTCTAATTGTACATTTGTAGCGTTAATACTAGATTTACTAGCGATGGCTGAAGTATTTGTAGTAGTGGTAGTAGCAGTAGCAGCAGCAGTTGTAATAGTAGCCGCAGTAGTATTAGTAGTTGTTGTCGTAGTAGTGGTAGTTGTAGTGGCGTCTGTTGCGACATCAACAACATTAACCGTTATTATCATCTTGTTGATTAACGGTGAACTACCGCGGTCTGATATTGTTACCTGGTAAAAATCATCACCATCATCATCATCATCATCATCATCATCATCATCATCATCATCATCATCATCATTATTATTATTATTATTTTAATTATTATAATTATAATTATTATCATCATCATCATCGTCATCGTTACTACCTCCAAAATATACTTTTCCTGAACTGCAAAATATCTTCTGCTGGTATAGACTGAGCCAGTATTTGAATCTATGGTGAAAACTTCATTATTATTATTATTATTGTTGTTGTTGTTGTTGTTGTTTTTGTTGTTGTTATTATTATTATCATTAAGATTTTTAATGTCATAGTGTATTCGCCCATTGTCACCAATATCTTTGTCATTAGCTACGACCCTGAAAACCTCAACGAAATTGTTGTTGTTGTTGCTGCTGCTGCTGTTGTTGTTGTTGCGGTTGCAGTTGCTGTTGTTGTTGTAGTTGTTGTTGCTGCTGTTGTTGTTGCGGTTGCTGTTATCAATTGCGATGTCATTACTGTTGATGTCATTGATTTTTCTGGCGGGAAACTTCAGTATCGAAGGTGTAGACGGAATCTCGACGTGTCTCAGATGTTGCCCGACAAATTGCGGAACATTGTCGTTGACGTCACTAACTTTGACCACAACAACGGTCGTTGAGGACTGGTAGGGTGGGTTGGTGTCCCTTATGGCCACCTAGATGGTGATGATGATAATGGTGGTGTGGTGATGATGGTGATGTTGATGACGACGATAATAGGACGGGTGATAAATGACTATGTTGAAAATGATAAGAGTGAGAGGTGAGTGATTTGAGAAGTGTTGTTGCACTGAAATATAAGGTCACAAAATAAAATATTTCCAAAAGTTTTTATCAATCATCATCATCATTATTACCCCCATCATCATCATTATCACCCTCATTATCATCATCATCATTATTACCCCCATCATCATCATTATCACCCTCATTATCATCATCATCATTATCACCATCGTCGTCGTCATCATCACCATCACCTCCAGCACGTATTCATCCGCTATCTCTCTATCCAATATTTTTTCTGTTGTAACTATTGTACATTTGTTGCTAAGAAAATTATTATTATTGTTGTTGTTGTTGTTGTTGTTATTGTTTACAACCCTGAAATAGCCTTGGGAATTTCCAGAAGTAATTTGAAACTGGAATTCCCCAGCTTGATTATTTTCATCATCGTCATCTTCTTCTTCATCATCATCGTTATCATTGGCTGCTTTCTTTTTGCGGTTATTATTGTTGTTATTATTATTATCATCGTCATCATCATCATCATCTCTGGCAACTAGGGTGATTATTGGTGTATTGGCTGGGCTGTTTTCTGGAATCTGTTGATTTTATTGTTATCGTTGGTATTGTTGTTGTTGTTGCTGCTGCTGTTTATTTATTTATTGCATTCGTTGATTTACTCATTCGTTTATTCACTCATTCACTCACTCACTCACCGATGCATAATACAGCATCTCTTCAGTTATAGGGGCGTTGTCATTGACGTTAACCACGCCCACGTAAACCTCGATCTGTGATCCGATTGGTCGAGAAGCCTGGTTTGAGGCCTCAATCACCAGCCAATAAGAACGCTCCATTTCGTAATCGAGTGGGGACTTTGTAAAGATTGAACCTGATTAGTCGATAGAAAATTCTTTGCACTAAAATTGTTCTATTAGTAAATGGTGATAATTACAATGACGGTGACGTAAGGAATGATGACGATGTGTTTGAAAGTTACGACAGCGTTAAAAACCACAACTACTGCTATTACTACTACTATAACATCAACAACAACAACATCATCATTATCATCATCATCATAAACAACAACAGCAACAACAATATCAGCAACAGCACTAAGGCACTTGAAATAAACTGTTTAACTTTTGAGTCTTTCTTATCACTGATATATAAATTGATGTTGGTCGGCAATAATGTGTGTTTGAGTGAGCGTTTGTATGTTTGTTTGTATGCGTGTATGCGAGATTTGTACATTTGCGTACAATGTATGTGTGTGTGTGTATGTTTATACGTACAAATGTATCCACAAACAAACATACAAACAAACATACATACATAAAAACACACAAACAAACAAACATGCAAATGATGAATTATGGACAGCTTAATTATTTTCTACCATTTCAAACATCTTAACAAATGCTAAAAAACCGTCAAACTGAACAAAAGTTCGGACATCTTTTTGAATAACAATAATAATAAGAAAAAAAAATTGCAATCATAATTGACAATAATAATAATAATAATAAAGGTAATGCTTGTATTGCTACTACTACTACTACAATTACTACTGCAGCCGCTGCTAGTACTACAAATGAGTAGTAATAGTATTAGTAGTGGTGGTAGCTAACAAAGGTAATGTTGCCCCACTGATTTATATGCGGATGTGATGTGTCTGTCTACACGTTGTATGTGCGTGTGTTTGTGTGTGTCTGTGTGTGTGTATGTGTGTGTGCAATGGGAGTTTGTGTATATATAATTGCATGTTGCGTGTATTGTGTACGAGTAAACGTGTGTTTATGTATGTGTTTTTGTTTGTAAGTGTATGTGTGTTTGTGCGTAACTATGTATATGTGTATAGTATATACAACACATATACACAAATATATGCCTGTGTTTATACATAGATTAAGTTTATGATGAGGAGGATGACGACGAAGATGATGGCGAAGAGGATAACGGTTAAAAATAAAAAATATGAATAAAGGAAAATAAAATAAATAAATTGACAAATAAATAAACGAATAAATAGATAAAATTTCCAGCATTTAGAATAAAATTATAGCTACCTCAAGTAAATATAACACGCCGATTAAAATACTTTAAATACTTTTTGTTTCTACATAAAATGCCATCTCCATCCATCCCACCAACCTGTATCGTCAATCTCGAAAAGCTCCCAAACATTATGGCATTTTTTATTTTTCTTATTATTCTTCTTGTTTTTATTATTATTATTATCCTTCTTATTCTTGTTAATTTTATTCTTTTTATTATTATTCTCATTGTTATTTTCATCAACCGCAAGGTCGTGAAGACATTTTTTAAAACCGCCAGTGACTTTGCTACTATTATCAACCATTTTTTCACCATTCATACTTTTCTCATCATCAACATCGTCATCATATTCTTCACCACCATCATCACCAACATCATCATCATCATTATACCCATTGTTGTCGTCGTAATCGTCCTTATCGGTGTCGAAGTCAATTATCGAATACTTTATCTTATAATCTATCGGTCGAGCTTTAGGATTGAACCGATCGTCATCGGTTGCCGATACTTTACCGACAAAAGTACCAGGCGGTTTATTCTCTCTGACTGAGAAATTCGCATACCTCTCTTTAAATATTGGCGGGTTTAGATTCCAGTTAAACGAACGAACGTCTATCGTTAAGTTGGTTCTTTTGGCTAGCTTTGGTTTTCCCAAATCGGTCGCGATGATTTCAATCATGTACGAAGATCGTCTCAACGCGTTCAGCTCAGACGTCAAATTAATGGCACCTGTTTGTGGATGGATGGAAAACGGAAGGAGAGAAAAAGATGACGACGACGACGATGACGTTGATGATGACGTGGACGAGGATGTTGCCACAAAATTATCTTCAGCAAAATAATACTCCACTGTCCCATTTTCTCGAAAATCCAAATCAACCGCCCGAACCATAGTCACCAGGGAACCAACAAAAAAATCATCATGGACCAGAATTTTTCTAGGGGAAACAAACACCGGGGCATTATCATTAACGTCTGCCACATTTATATCGATATTCGCACTAGATGTCAGGCCTGTTGATGATTGACCGGAGCTATCAAATGCTAGAACTTGAAATTTTATTACCTCATTCTTTTCTCTATCAATATTTTTTGCTACTGTAAGCTCTCCCGAATTTTCACCGATTTTAAATAAATTCGTACCTCTGATTAAATATTTTATTTTATTATAACTGTTATTATACGTGGCGACAGTAGTAGCAGCAACAGCAGCTGCAGTAGCAGTATAATATTCTTCAAAATCACGGCCACCATCACTGATCGCTTTGATTACACCGATAATTTCATCTATCGAAACCGATTCTGAAATCGAGAATTTATAAGTCGGTATGTTGTTAACGAGAGTAAAAGTAGTAGTAGCAGCGGTAGCAGCAGTAGCAGCAGTAGTAGTAGTATTAGAAGTAGCAGTATAGTCCACAAAACGTGGTGGATTCTCGATGACGTTGTTAATTTGTATACGAAAAATTTTCCAATTAACTTTCGGTTCGCAGCCCATATCGGAGATGGTTATATTTAGTTTTACCCCCCTCTTGCTGATATTTCTTAAACTTTTTAAAACCTTCAAATGGCCGGAATATGGTTCTATATAGAAGTAATCATCATCTTTATCATCACCGCCATCATCGCCACTTTCTTTCAAGTCCTCCTCATCATTATTGCTGTCGTTTTTGCTGCTGTAGTCATTATTATTCGTTATTGTCTTACTCCAGGCTAAAGAATAAACAACCAAGCCATCGTAGCTGACGTCATAGTCGAAGGTGCGAATTTTTCCAACAACGAAATTCGTTGGCGCGTTTTTGCTTACTGCAAAATTTTCTAACTGTTTCGCGACGAATTCTGGTCTGTGTTTGTTGCGGTTTTTGAGTTTTGCGAGGTAAAAATGTTGATGTTTCTTTTTATTATTGTTGTTGTTACTAGTATTATTATTGTTGTTATTATTATTGTTGTTAACAGTAAAATTAACAGGGGTAATTGTCGTAGTATTATTGTGGTTTATTAAAATTATTCTCATTTCAGTTTCGTTTTCTCTTCTATATGGAGCTCCAAAGTCCGAAGCAATTATTTTCAGATCGATGAAATAGACGCCAAAATTGAAATTAGAAAAGTACGAATTCGTAGTAATCAAACCGCTTTTTGCGTCAATATCAAATGGAAAATTTGAATTTTTTTTATCTAGAAACCTATAAAATACTGAACCATTGTCGCCTTCATCTGCATCTAGAGCACTTATTTGTATCACAGGCGTATTTGGCGGTACTGCGGTACTTATGGGTATAGCAGAAGGTGTGGTTTCAGAGAAGGATGGGTGGTTATTGTTGCAGTCAGTTACGATGATGGTTAAATTTTTTAGAATTGGGTGTTGGTCCGTGCATTGGGGAGTGATTTCTATCGTCAGGTTGAAGATGTTGGATGGAGATAGTTTCGTGTTAATTTTGTTTTTTAGTTTCAACAGACCTGAATTCTTTCCAAGCGAAAAATATTTCGATTGCTCTGTCTCTTCGAGAAGTTTGAAATTTAGCTTTAGATTTTCATTTTTGTTTAAATTTTCAAGTAGAAACAAGTACGTGTTAGTTGGGAAACATTCATCTACGGTTAAATTTGCTACTTTGTTCGCTACATCTGCAAACTCTTTCGCGTAATTAACGCAATCATTATTTTTGCTGTTTCGAATGTTGTTGATAAAAATCGATTTGAATCCAAACCGCGGAGGTCTTCCGGAGTCTTTTGCCTGAATTTTCAACTCTAATCTTTTCAATTCATTTGAAGAAAATTTTGTAATGCCATCTGTAGAGTTGATGTATTTTGGGAAGGGTTTGACTAGTTTCACAGCGTAACTGGCAACAATGTTGTCTTTATTGTTTTTGTAATTGTTGTTATGCACGTTGTTGCTCTTTTTATCATCTGGGAAAATCCTAAAATGTTTGCTAAAACTACCGCCAATGATTTCTACCATATCAATTTGACCATTTAAACCAGTATCTCGATCGAGTACTCTGAAATACACGTACGGAATACCTAACACGTTGTAGTTGCGTATTTCTGGTATGTTTGTGATTTCTATTTCAGGTGCATGCCTATTCGCTTCCATCACTAAAATCCTCACTTTAGCGTACGAAATCTTAAAATTCTTTTTCTCATTTTCGTAAAAATTCAAGTTAGACGCGTAGACATTTAATTCAATCTGCGAAATATCTTTGAAGCTTATCGGGTAGATGAGACTTAAACTACCGGTCGCCTGGTGGACGGCAAAGTATTTTGTATACGTCGTATTTGTGATACCGTAGTAAATTCTAGAATTGATGCCGAGATCAGGGTCTGAAGCTGACAGTTGTAAGACGCTGGTGTGAGGTTCCGTCAGCTCTGCAAGTTCGAGGTTATATATTTCCGATGAGAAGAGTGGCGGTAGGTCGTTAGCGTCCATGATTTTGATGACTAGTTTTGAGGTTGTTGTGTACCTTAGGAGGCTATCTTTTTTGCTGTTGCAACTGTTGTTCTGGTTGTTGATGTTGTTGTTGAAGTTGTTGTTGATATCTCTGTTGCTTTTGATGTCTTTTATGCTTTTGTTGACGTCATTTCTCTTGATTTTTGATTTTTTATTGAGGATATTTTTAACTTTTCTAACAGTAGCTCGGATTGTAAATTCGAACCTATCTCTATATTCCCTGTTAATAAACGTACTCTCGTTATTTTTGATCCTGACGAAATAAAAATCTCCAATTAATTTTGATTCGGCTACGAACTGTCTCGAAATCTCATTACCCTTCAAAAGGTCGTATTTGATTTTGTAGTTATTTTTGATAAAATTTCTCGAAACCCTGATGCCCATTTGGACGTGACTCGGGGTAGCGTAGACTGACCTATGGACGTTTTCCTTCATGGTGACGTCATATTTTGGTCTGGTAAATTGCAGATACGAACTCGCTAAGTATGCTAATTGGGGTAAAATTATCAAACTCCAAATCCCAATCCTTCGAGATCCCATTTTAGATGAATGTCAGGGCGAATCGAATCCCAAACAACTGTTCATTCATTTATCACGTTGTCCAAATTTTGTTACTTTTTTAAAAATTATCCATAATTATTCATAATTTTGTATGAAATAATAATTATAATAATTATATTTTTTATTATTTATTATTATTATTATTATTCTCATCCATCACAAGAGGAATGATGAAAAATTTTCATTGAAGTATTAATCCATTTCTTTTGATTCCTGCGGTAAAATGTGGTTTTATTATAACTATTATTATTATTATTAATANT